GACTTACAAAACTAACTGCATAAGATATGTCTGGTCTAGTGTGTGACAAGTAGATAAGCCTTCCCACAAGTCTGATAGGAGCCTTTATCTACTGTCGTGTCTTCCAGAGCATCTTCAAGGCTATGGTTGAACTCTATAGGCGTCTCTGCTGGTCTACAACCTAACTTGCCTGTTTCCATTAGCAAATCTGTTACATATTTTTGCAGAGATATGAAAATTCCTTCTCGAGAATGTGCTACCTTAATGCCGAGAAAATACTTTAGTTTGCCGAGCTCTTTGATTTCGAATTCTTTCACTAAACACTTCTTTAAATTCTCCATTCCTTCCAAATCATCACCTATCACTATAATGTCGTCTACATGGACTAACAATGCAGTCACTCCCCCTGAAGCCGAGTGCTTTACAAACAAGGTGCGATCGCCTTGGCTCTGTTTGCATCCCATATCGAGCATTACCTTGGCAAACCTTCCAAACTCTTGGAGACTATTTTAATCCGTACAACGCCTTTCTTAACCTGCATACCACCTGTCCTGTATTCGAACCAAACCCCGGTGGAACTTCCATATAAACCTCCTCCTTGAGATCACCATGTAAAAAGGCATTTTTGACATCGAATTGCTGTAATTTCCAGCCTAGATTAGCAGCCAATGACAACAACACTCTAACGGTGTTCATCTTCGCAACGGGAGCAAATGTCTCAAGAAAATCTATTCCATACGTTTGGGTATAGCCTTTAGCAACTAACCTTGCTTTGTACCTCTCCAACGAACCATCTGACTTGTATTTCACCGTGAATACCCATCTACATCCCACCGGTTTCTTCCCTCTCGGCAATTTCACTTAGTCCCATGTCTTGTTCTTCTAAAGTGCTTCCATTTCGACCTTCATGGCATTCTTCCAATTCTCATTACCTAATGCCTCGAATATGGTTTTGGGAATGGAGATTGTGTTTAGGCTTGTGAGAAAGGCTTTGTGGTTATGGGACAGATTCTTGTATGACATGAATAAGCACAGAGGGTGTTTGGTGCATGCTCTAGTTTTCTTTCTAATAGCAATGGGAATATCATAATCACTTTGATCAAGAACTTCAGTGACACCATATTCATTAGAAATAGGTTCAGTAATTACCTCGCTAAGTCCAAGAGCAGGGGTTGATTTGGGTGATTGAACCTGCACAGATTGAGTGATTGGTGCCCTTCTTCTTGAAAAAACCAGCAGTGGACGAGTAGAGTCTTGAATTTGCTTTCCCTTTATCATCTCTTGTGACTTGGGTGTATGAAGCTCAGTTTCAAGTTGTACGGATTCGGACTGAATGTTTAGGTCAGGCTGGACTAGCTCAGGTTGATCAACAGGAACGGACCGAGTGTCAATAGGAACAGACTGAGTGTTTGGCTGGACAACAAAGACAGGAGCCGAGGAGGAGGACAATGGAAAATCAAGAAGAAAAAGATCCTTGTCCTTGTCTTCCGTGAATGAGATCTCCCCCTGAAGATAAGGACGAGTAAAGTAATAATCTTCTTCGACAAAAGTGACATCAGCTGACACAGAATTTTCTTGTGGGAGGATGATAGCATTCGTACCCCTTTTGAGTGGAAGAATAGCCAATAAAGACGCATTTGAAAGCCCATGGATCAAGTTTTCCCCTGTTTTAAGAATGCACATGGACAAAAGCAACACAACCGAATATTTTGGGAACAAGACTACTTGAATCATTGAAATTAGGAAAGAATTTCGTTAGAATTTGCATAGGACTTTTAAAATCAAGAACCTTTGTAGGCAATCTGTTTATCATATGAGCAGCAGTTAAAACCGCTTCCCTCCAATATTGCTTAGGAACATTTTTTGAAACAAGAATGCTCTTATAATAGCTTGACCATTCTTTCGTTCAGCCACACCATTTTGTTGGGGTGTGTTAACATAAGAAGATTCATGTATTATGCCCTTTTCTCGGAAATATGGTGAGAGAAACTGATTAAAATAATCTTTAGCATTGTCAGAACGAAATCTTTTTATTTCAGTACCAAATTGTGTTTTGACCATGTCGTAAAAAACAGGAAAGACAGAGCTCATATCATATTTATTTTTCATAAGAAAGATCCAAGACACACGAGTGCAATCATCAATGAAAGAAACGAACCACCAAGCCCCAGAAATGTTAGAAACAGTGGACGGTCCCCAAATGTCACTATGAATAAGAGTAAATGGAACAAATGTTCTTTTATCGCTTATTGGAAAAGATGCAAATTTGTGCTTTGCAAGTTCACAGACATCACAATGAAAATTTTCAACATCTAATCCTTTGAACAATAAAGGAAACATAATTTTAAGGACTCTAAATGACGGGTGACCAAGACGGAGGTGTTGAAGCTAAATCTTGTCTTTATTGGATTTAAAAGACTCTAAAAGAAATGATAATGGTGAGGAATTCGCAACACTAACTTGACCACGGGTTCTTCAAGATAGTAGAGACCATCCCTTTCTCTAGCATGTCCAATCATCCTCCTCGTGCCCTGTTCCTGAAATACACAACGAGAGGGATAAAACACCACACTGCAATTAGAATCTTTAGTGAGCTTGTGGATTGACAAAAGGTTGGTAAATAATTTTGGTACATGGAGAACGTTTCTAAGTGTGAGGGTTTTGCTTATAAAAACATCTCCCTGTCCAGCCACTGTTGTTACAAAACCATCGGCTATTGTTATCTTCCTATTGCTAGGAAAAGGTGTATATGAGATAAATTTTTATGACGAGTGGGTCATGTGATTTGTAGCTCCTGCGTCAATGACCCAGGAGCTTGTGGTGGATATATCCGAGACTTTAAAAGCATGAGCAGAGGAAGATATACCTGAGAACGCCAAAGTGCAAGTACCTGTTGTAGATGGTTTCTCCAAAGATCCCAACAGATTCTTCAATTTCTCAATTTCCTCTCTGTCGAACTCAATAGATGACTCTTGAGATTTACCTTCTCCAGCCTATTGTATATTTGCCATATACGCCTGCCCCTGTCCCTTTGCCGATCCACCTTTTGCCGTCCAATTTTTGTTTGCCGTCTCTAGTTTGCCGTAGAGTTTCCAGCATTTGTCCCTAGTATGGCGGGACTTTTTGCAATATGTGCACCATAGGGAATCTTTATTGACTGGCCTTGTAAGATCTACCCGCTTGTTGTCTTCATTAGATGGTTGTTCCCGGCCAAAGGTCCTCACATTTGCAGCTTTTGTAACCAAGGCCGAACCGTCCACTGGGTTATTCTCAATCATAACTCCTCTTCTTCCTTCCTCAGCACGAACAATTGCAATTGTTTCATTAAGTGATGGCAGATCTTCCTTTCCAAGTATTTGGACTCTTACTGCATCAAATTCAATGCTCAGTCCTGCAAGAAAATCATAAGTTCGGTCTTTTTCGATAAACCTCTTAAGGAGGGCTGCATCCTCGCTGCATTTCATTTGAATGCACTGGTAATGATCCATCTCTTGCATAAGCTCTGCAACAAATTGGAGTACTCTATGATTGATCGACTTCCTTGCTTGGTGGATGAAATCTTGGTCTTGATTTCATAGATTTGTGCAGCATCCCGGACTTTAGAGCAAGTCTGCTTCACGGCCTCCCATATTTCTTAGGCTGTGTTAAGAAACATACATGTATCACTGATTTCTGGCACCATAGAGTTCCATAACCAAGACATCACCATAGAGTCTTGTTCATCCCAAGCATCAAATTTGGGATCCCCTTTGTTAGGCCCGGTACCGAGTAAGTGACTCAGTTTGCCTCTCCCCTTCAAGAACGTGCGAACCAGTTGAGACCACTTTAGATAGTTCTTCCCGTTCAACCTTTATGCTACCTGGATGTTCTGCAATTCCCCTGTTGGAATCGAGTTGCTGCCTTCAATCAAAGGAACCTCCGAGGTAGTCGTGGTGTTGCTGTTGTCGGCTGTTTCTGACATGGACTTTTGGTAAAAGGGTAACGGTCTTAAGGGGTGATAGTGTGGGGTTAGAGATTGATAATAATTAGTCTAGCGATATGAGAGTTCGAAAGACCAGAAATACAATTCCCAGAATTGGGCCTACAACTCTGATACCATGACACAAATTGGGCTGAAATTCAATTGTATTGAAATCACAATGAAATTACACTCTTATATACACTTCAGAGGATCTAAACTAATTCCCTATAAAATCAAGGATTACAATGACCAAAACATTACAAAATCTCCTAGCTAATTACAGCTATACACACACGGTTTCCTTAGCTAATTACAGCTATACACAGACAGTTTCCTTATTTATAGAACCGAATTTTCCACAAAATTCAATTTTTCAAAAAAAAAAAAAACCAGTTGACAAACGTTGTAGTGGGCCCGTGGATGTGGCTAGAAACAACAAGAATAAAATAGCATGACAGGGGAGTTCCAACAGTTGTCAGGCACTTAAGGCAGCGGAAGGTGATAATTTTTCCAAATACCACTTAAGACTCTTCCAGTTTTGAGGCTCATTTGCCCATTTAAAGTTATAAATATAGTTCGTGAGAGCACAGTTGTGAATCCATGACCATAACAGTGGAATTCGAATCTGGAGCTTTTAATTAAAAACGCAAAAACAAAAAGAAGAAACCAATAAAGTACATAAGGCTACGGAAACATGTTTCTTCTAGGGGAGTTCACATTTTTGCTTTCAGTAGAAGATTTAAAGCAATAAATAGGAAACATAGTGATTATCTTTATAGGTAGATCTAGTAATAAATTTGTATAAACTTGGTCAATACTCATTATAGTGATTATACGACTGTTGCATGTAAAAAGTTGGATAAATACTTCCAAAAGGAATAACAAATTATTCAAAATTCCGGGTGTCGTGCAAAGAAAAAAATCATATACGTGTTATCTTTTAACCTGAGAGTTCAAAGGGCAAGAAATTAAAACAATAGTTTCAAATACAAAAGCTTTATATATACATGGAAACTAAGTGTTAATAATTACTATTTGAGCCAGTCAGAAAATGTATCACCTGCAATATTGCATTTTGCAGAATATGACCCAAGCTCATTAGATGTGCCCTTTATATCATCAGCTCCATGTTCATTTATAGAAACTTCCATTTGTGCCATACGCGACCTCTTTGAACACCCACTGCTACTTCTTGACACTTTACCAGATTTCTTTTTTAATTCTTTAGCCTCCAGCCTGGGCATCAATGATTGACAACTATTTGTGCTCACAAAATTAAGGTCATCAGATGCATCTTCACCATGAAAGCTGGACAACTGACTAGCTCGCCTAATTTCAACATCTGGCGTCTTTTTCCAGAAGGCTGATTCTGAGGGACGAACAGCACCCACCTCATCTGACAGAATCAAAAATGAGGAAACATAAGTTCACCAGATTGCATGAAGTAGCATACACAGCGAAGCCCAGGGAAGTTTCCCTTCATTAACCTCTGTCTAGTTAAGAGGGAAGTGGGGTGGAGAAAAAATCAAGCTTAATACCCAAGCATTTCCTTATTCCTTTTTTTCACATAACCAAAAAAATTTCGAACAGGAACAAAGTCGCATATGTGCAAAGTTGATCACCGAAATCAACTTTCACTTTAACCAGAAAAGAAGAAAGACATTGGGTCTTTGAATGTTGCAAGTAGACTATTGATGCAAAAGGAAAATAGAGACCACAAACTCCAAGAGCCAAAAAAAGCATTAATTACAAAAAGTTTCTCTTTCTTTCCGTTACCAAAAACAAACTGCATAAAGGCAAGGTGACAAAAGCCGGTTTTATTTTCATCAGACTCTCCTAATCCATCTTCTAGAACTATTATTGATCTCAACTTTACAATGTCATGTTTACTTGTAATGAAGTGTTTACTTGCAATGAAGAAGCTTTCCTCTTACTTAAAAAATCATGAAAACGTGGAGAAATATTCAGTTCCCTGAACAACCATTATTTATCCAAAACCTTCAATATAACAAATTCACCATAGCCCACTCATTTACAATGAAAAATACTCTTTTTATTCAATCATACTTGAAACTGTTGCAGAATGTGCTTGCTAAGATCAAGTGCAATTCCTCAGGTAACAAACAACCATCAAATCTGGTCGCATAAGGCACTTTTGGGGATGCTACCCATGAACACCTGCATAATAGAACATTAAGTAACCTATATTGGGATACCAGAAAGCACACCATCCTAGTGAGACCAATTGACTGGCTTCCCTGGCACTTCCGTTTCAAAGTAACACTCTTTGTGTCTACAAGCAGTTTCAATAACAAGATATACTGAATTGGAACAAATCATAAGTTTCACAATATATGAAGAATTCACTAATTCACCGCAAAACATATCAAAGCAAACCATTGAACGAGATACCACACACTTAACACATATATATACACATAATTGGTTAGAACAAAACAAGTTCACCTTTCTGGCTGAGAAAAGAACTGCATCTGTCAATTGAGGGGGAAACAAGAATCGAAACGCGGTCCAATTCACGAGCCTCGACTTCCTCGACTGTAACCCCGACACCACCACCACTGCTACCACCAACGCCACCGAAACCATCAGATCCCATGAGCGTCAACACCGCAACTGCCGCCGGTACGGGCAACTCCACCACATCCATTACCACAACAAAAACCCCCACAACCAACAAAGACCCAATACTCCAAATGAACTCAAAACCATCTTCGATCCAATCCCACTTCTAGTCACTCGATAATGAATCAAAACAGACCATCTTTACACTGTATCGAACCCCAAAGAGACTGAAAAATCAAGGATTTTGAACTAAAATGAGGAAAGAAATACAGAGAAAGTGAGTATTGCGTGGAGAGAGAGAGTTGGGGTTAGTGGAGGCGATGACGGAGAAGTCTAGGGCACGAAATGGCTGGTGAGAATGAGAAGTATTTATAGTTTTCGGGAAAAGGTGAAGTCTTGGGCGAAATAGGTCGTCGGTGGGGAATATTCCGGTGCGGTTGAGGTCAGCGAAATCTAGCCCTATCCGGTTTTTTCTTTGGCTACGGCACTTTGTCATAATTTGCCACGTGGAAACCGGTTCGAAATAAAGGTGGGGCGATGTTCGGGTATTCTGGTTTGTATAGTATGTGAGCGACGAATGCTACTGAGCATACAACACGTGTAAGCATGTCGTTGTCGTGGACACGTGGAGTTCTTTGACGGGTGCTTTAATAATAAGAGCCTGAAAGTCCTGGATTGCTCACCATGTGTAAAAGCTACGCATGTGCGCTAGGAAATTTTAAATTTCTAATGAATGGGGACATTGTGCTTTAATTTAATTTCGAAAAAAATTGATTTAATTGCTAGAGACGGTTGGGACAGTGATTAAGATAAACACTTGCGAAAGTATATTCTTACCCTTTTATACACGAGTGAGTTCATGTTGGATTCTAATAATTTGTGTTTGTATCATTATTTTTATTTTTTAGCTACACATCTGGAATTAAAATTTAAGATTTGATCTTGAATATGTACTGATAACTAAAAAAATATTAATGTCATTTATTTTAATACATATTACATTTTATTCTTCTATGCATTTTTAGCAAACTAAACGAATTATTTTATTACTCTAGTTTCTCTCATTATCTCTATTTTTTCTTTTCTCTACTAATATATATTTTTTTATTATACGTATAAGTATATATAAATATATATACACACACGCACTTATTCTGCTCTGCAATTTCTATATTTTCTAATTACTCTATATTATTGAGTATTTCTTTCAAATGTAACGTTAATCAAAAAATACCAAATCAAAATATAATTATATAAAACTTTAAACGAATTGTGTAAATTATGGTTCTTATTGATTGATGAGAAAGAGGTTATTCATTCATAATAAAAGATTATAACTTTTTGTTTTAATTATTTGACGATTTAATAGAATGAGGTTCTTATTAAATATAAAGATATTATTCATTTGTAGTAAAAAATTGTAACTTATGGTTTTAATTATCTTAATACAGTATTAAATAGAAATGGTCTTCCAAACTAAGATATATACGGGGCAGAATTGAATTTAAGTTATTAAGTTATATGATGGTTTGGATGTTATAATAGTAAGTTTTGTTATTTTTTTTCTCTCTCTTTTTGTATTAATATATTTCCTATATATATATATATATATATATATATATATATAACACATAAAACAATCAAATAAGCGACGACAAATTAAAATTCGTGAAGCATAACATTTTCCTTTTTCATAAAATATGAACTAAATAATTTGACATGATTATGACAACAATGCAATTAAAATTAATTTAACTCCACTCACTTGAAGTCGGTTCAGCATGACATTAAAGTAACACACTTGACAATATATTACTAAAGCATCAAGAAATTCAATGGAAAATAAAATGGGGAGGAAAAAATTAAAAAGCAAAAATGAAAAAGAGGAGATATATGGGAGAGAGTTAATTTACTAAAGATACGTATATAATGAAAGAGGACAACGTAAGTGCATGTATTAAATTTATTATGGAATCTCGTGAAATATGATATTCTCCCTCAAAAATATAAGCAACTCACATATCCATTTTGTTTCTATATTAAATTTGAATACATAATCTTTGATCATGGAAGTTTTTTTTTTTTTTGGCAAGATGAGAAGTGTTAGATGTTAAATTATGTTAGTAGGTGCACAAGCTTGAACCTGGACACTCCAACTGTACATTTGATGGGTAGGATAAATGGTTGAAATTAATGATTTTATTGTATTTTATTTTTCTTGGACATTTGCTTGCCTAATATTTCTACCTTTTGCCAAATTTTTGAAGTTATATTTAATAAGTTTTTTTATTTTTATACATATTTGTGTATTTTTTATAACCATGTTGTTCAGTTCCAAATTTTATTTTCAACGACTCCACAAGACAAGCACCAACTTTCTTACAAATCTTCTTTTTAATTAACCTTATCTATTTTCATCAGCTTCAAAATTTTGAGTCACATACATATAATGATCCCATCTTGATCCTTCACATATAATCTTATTAAAAAATAATTCATTAATTGTTATTTAGAGAAATGTAATAATTAATATGCAATTTTACTTTATTTTAAATTGTCACTGCCGCTTAAATTTTTAATCCATTTAAAAAATAAAAAATTTATTTTTTATTTTATTTTTATATTTCATCGTGAAATACACTTTCAGTTATAATAAAATGTTGGTATGATGAGTTATCAAATGTGAATTTAATAAAACTATATATATTTTTAATGATATTGGTGACCAAAGTCTCTAGTCCAGAATATGTCCTCTATATGAAAGGTGAAGGTCAAATTTTTACTAAATAAATGGGTGCGTGGGTCTTTTTATCAAGGAAAAAAATCTAATAATGTTGTCCAATTAGGGTTAGTTTTAGAGATTTCATATAAAATTTTATGAGTGAATTCTTTTGACAACTCAATAAAATTCACAGTATAAGTTAAAAATGTTTTATATTATTAGATTATGAAATCACTAATTTCATAATTGCCGTGTTTTATTTATTTATTTATTTTCCAGGCATATGACCACATAAAATGAAAATTTCTCAGGCTCAAAACTTTCAAATTTTTTAAAAAAGTTTTTAACTTTATATGTTAAAATACTCTCATGACTTCAATGATTTCTCCCAGATCAACACTTCAATAATGTTCGGACTCATCCCTTTCGATTCCAGACTTAACGGGCGAAGGATAGGTTGTACTCTATCGCGTGGGAGTAAACTTCCAACTAGTCAACATCGTAAATTATGAATTGTTTTACTTATGTGTGAGAACTTGCCCCTGAATAATGTCAAATTTTGTTAAAAAAAAAATTTGTTTTCATATAATTATTTTTTATACTTCTTTTAAAATAATTTTATTTTTATTTGTTTGTTTTCTGAGTAATTAATCAAGCATACTAACCAATAAAAAAATTAATTTTTGATAGAAATATGTTTTGGATAATGTTAACCTTTTCAGGCTATTATCCATTACACTTTCCTGAATGAACTGACTTGATGAAGCACGTGCAAGCCGCACGCTATCTTTTCCTCAGATAGGGTTCGCAAACATTAGGTGAGCTCTCTTATATCAGATTTCAGGTCCCTTCACTGCAGTCGTTTTCCCCTCTCAACTCCGTCCGTCGATATAGAGAGAGAAAGAGAGAACCAATAAACTTGGAGAGAGAAAGTCACTGTCTCTCTCTTTCACCGGAATAGTACCATGACTTCTCTGCATCTAACAAGATCCCTTATACAAAATTGGGCCGCTGAGTGAGAAGGTGACGATTCAATCCGTTGTTTTCAATCCTTTTATTGGATTTGATATTAGTTTGGTACACATATCTTTCATCAGAGCTTATTTTTTTGTATTAGATTCGTCTATTTTTTTGTAGTTTTTTGGTCAGAGAAGCTGTAAGAGAGGAGGAGAGTAGAGAGAGAAGCTAGGGTTTAGGTTGTGTATTTCATTTTTGAGATTGAATTTGTATTGGGTTTTAATGGATGAGGCGGTGCTTGACGATATCATTCGGCGGCTTCTTGATGCAAAGAACGGTCGGGTTCCTAAGCAGGTGCATCTAACGGAGGCAGAAATTCGGCAGCTTTGCGTCGCTTCGAAGGAGATCTTTCTCAGCCAGCCTAATCTTCTCGAGCTTGAAGCTCCTATAAAGATTTGTGGTAAAAGGATATGCAAGAATACTTTATGTTGTTTTCATTGATCCAAGACTTGTTCGTGCTTAATACATTTGATAATTTTAATTGCTAGCAGTTGTTAATTTGTATGATTTATTAGTTTCGTTTGATTTATTTTATCCACATGGGACTCAACCTTCCTGCTCATATGCTAAATTTGATCATTTTTTTGTTACTATGTAAAAAGTGGGTTATGGGTCTGCGTTTTTCATATTAGATTACCCAGTGCCCTTGTTGTTACTATGTAAACACTTATCCATCGCTGATTGTATGTAATTTGACAGATATCATCAACTGTTGTGAGGAAAACATCAATTGATTTGAGCTAAATGTTAGGCTTTTGTACTCTTGTGCACGTCCTGGTTGGAAGGAGTGCTTTTTCTGTGTGTGACATGAAAAGTAAGAAGCCGACTTCCAACGAAAACATTTATCATAAAGCTTTACTTCAATCATTTTCAGCAAAAGTTGTGAAGAGGAACAATGTCTTGCCTAACTTTCCAAAAAAAAAATGTCTTTCCTAAGCCACTGAGGGCTAGTTGGGCTTCTTATTAGAACATAGACACACAAGTATTTGGAAGGGCTTGCATTAGCGAATCAGTTAAGCTGATTGCTGAAGGTAAAAGTGATCATTCATAATGTGCAAAGTTTAAGTGACTAAATTTTCAAAATAAGGTATTCAAAACATTTTAAATGTTCGTTTTACTAAATTACTGAAACTGCATCATAGTTAATAGCGTAGAATCGTGTCTGTGCATTATTTTTTTAACACTGGCTATATGAGGGTTCAGTTGATTTTAGAAAAGTAGGCTTTCACTGCCCAATTTTCACGCTTCAGTTACTTAATAGAGTAGCCATATAATGGTATGACATAATAACAACAAACAAGTACACTTCATGGCTACACCTTGAAGTGCTTGCGCCACATTACTATATTGTAAATTGGGTGTTTTAGTACTTCTGTTGCATTTTCACCAATTAACAATTGATATCGATGCACTTGATTTTTTATTTTTTTATTTATTAATGTTTTTATTATATTTACATATCATTTGTATTGTGTTAGTGCAAGGGTTATTATGATTTTATGACATGTATAGCTTCTATACTGTGCCTGTAATATTTTTCTTGCACTAAAATTGCTTACATTATAAGAGAATACAAAAATGAAATGCATATTACTATATTATGTACATGCAGAAATACTCAATGACCACCTAGGCAGCTTGGCTAGGTTATGGGCTTTTATTAGAACCATACCCTGTGCTTGCCTTGGATTTTTTACTACCATGTTTCCGTAAGATGCATTTCGGCCATAATATCCACTTAATTTTCCTGGTCGTGAGCATGTATTAAATGAACTAAAATTTGCATGTCATTGTGTGGATCACTTGAGGGTATTAAAATATACTGCTCATCTATTACAGACTAGGTATGATGACAATAAAGTAACTTTTAGTGGTCTTACACATCATATGACACGCACATCTTACAGGAAACTCAGGTAAATGCTTGTGGTTGTAACCTCCTAAATTTTAGCGAGGTTGACATAACTTGTACTTTGGCGAATGCCATACTACAAAGATCAAGTATTGTTTGATAGTGAAAGGTCATACATGTCGGTTTTTCCAGACGCTAAGTCAATCTTGTGATGTGTTCCAAAGCATTGTTCCCCGTCCATTCCCCCCCTTCCCCATCCTCAATTGTTCCAAATCAGATATGTTTTACAAAAGACATTTGGCGTCTATATGTATTGTGAATTTATTATTTTTTTTAAAATGTTTTTTCTCACCTACTTATAAAAAAAAAATGTTTTTTCTCACCCGCCATTTGTCAAGTTTGAAAAGGTTATTCTTTCATATTATATCATTAGTGCCTAACAGGTTTGGCAATTTGAGGATGATGAATTGACATTTCAAGTAGTCCTTACCTTTTCATGGTTTTTTCATACCTCTAAAGAATAGATACATTATTTTCAGGGGCAGGATCAGTTTTCAGGAGCACATCTTTATTTATTTATTTTTGGCAAAATAACCTTTTGTCAATCAAACTGTTAAATTATATATGCCTTTATCGTGTTTTTGTTATGGATGTCAAACACCAAGGTAAAGGGATATATATAAAAGCTCGTTCTGTAAATTTATTTTTCTCTGAACTAAAATATTAGAATAGAACTCTGAATTAGATTGTGATGTTGGTGTGACAGATGTAGATTTTCTGTTAATTTGATTTTGGCATACATGGTAAATATGAAGATATTCAATTTTACAGTTAAATTGTCAAAAGTCAAAAAGCTACTAAAACCTATCGAAAAGTGTAAAATAACTAATTCTTACAACCAGTGAAAATGTTTCCTTCTCTTTCCTTTTGTCTCTCCTTCAAACACTTGTTGTGCCAACACCTTGCATGACTATTCTTGAACTGGGCCTAACCATTATTTGGTTTGCTGAAGATTTTATTGAATTTCTATTTTTAAATGTCATTAAAATATCCATTAAATTTAGGTAACATATTTTGGTTAAGGTCATTCTTATATATGCTAATTATTCATGTATCTGGTCCCAAGTCCATGCATTAAAGAAATTCCGTTGGTCATTCATTGTAGTCTTTTCAATGTTCTAATTTTTTTTATGTCATCCATGCTAATTTTAAGGATGAGTGGAGGGTAGTTGCTATTCCTAGTGGTAACAATGTTGTTGATGGTAATTTGTAAAGAGAAGACAAGGATTAGTGTGGTGAATCACGTGTGAACAGTGACGCATAGGGTTGGGTCCGTTTGATTCGGGAGAGAGTGATTGCAGTAATATGTAGTATAGCTAGGCCAATCATAATGCAGAGGGGGCTACCAGTGTGCAGCTCTGTGGCCTAGAAGCTTTGTCCTGGAAAATTGCTGATGGTCCGACAGCCCATCGTTAGGGCAAGCGAAGCTGTTGTGCTACATTTCATAGAATTAATGTCACATTTAGTTCTGATTTGGTCTAGCCAGGTGAGTATTTCAATTCTGGCGTCTCTATGGTGGGAAACTCTGAATCACCATGAGTGATCCTAACTCTAGCCACCAATGCAACACCTAGAGATATTCTAGGGCTGGCATCATGGTCCGAAATAGTAATTTCAATAGACACGGGACCTAATAAACAGGTTACCAAATGCCCTGCTACTGGATAGGGTAGACTTTGAACTTCGTGGTGCTTATTACCATCTGGGCCAGCACCTTGTTCCGATTCAGTCGGGCCTATTCCTATTTTACAGACAACCTGAGGTGGGTTGGGTTAGCCCTCTTTACAGCATCTCCTATGTCTGGGCAAACAATGTGTTTTTCCCACTTCTATACGACATATCTTAGCAAAAATAAAAAGAGAAGTGACACATCAGTAGCTGTCACATTGTATGGGGTGCTTGGTTAATGTGGCAGTAGTTTAGTGGGGTTCATCACCGTCCAAAATTAGTTTCAGATTCATTTAGAATGTATGGATGTTACATAAATATATGGTAACCTATAAAATCGATAAGGTTACCAAGCCAATTTGAGTTTGAGCTCACTTTTGTATACTCTCTATAGCAGATAATCTCACAGAACATCATCTCTTGGTGGAACGAATATAAGAAGTAAAAAATGAGTTCTTGTAAGGCATAACTTTTATGATCTAAAAAAGCAAGCCACTCCGCATTTCAATTTGATGAATAGATGAGATTTAGTGTTTAACCATGATACAAAATAGAGGACACATCAAATTAAATTTCATGTAAACACACACACACAGACATTCATACAGTCAATGCATATGTATTAGCTTTTGGCATTCATTAGCACTTGCCTTAGCTCATAAGTTAGGGTCCTATCCTGCCTCTAAGTGATAAATTGGGTATTGACGATTTGAACCCTGGAACCTAAACTGGGATGTCCAGATGTCATTGTTTTGGGCCACAGACCAGAGTTAGGCAGAGAAGAATAGACGTGGGAGTGTTTAGTGAGAGTTTCACTTATATATGGAGACTGAAGGCTTGTATGGAAGTAGTGCTTTCCTCCCTCCTATGGATAGCTCTTGTTAACTTCAAATAGGAGGGAAGTTTTAATAAATTGAAAAGAAAGAAATTAGTGGTTGCTTGTGTTCCTCTCATGTGTACCTTATACTGCAAGTAGTGTCAACTTCTTGGTCATTTTATTTCGTGGTGTTTGTTTTCGTCTTATATGTACTTTATTGTTGTTTGTCTTCCTTCACCATTCAAGTTGAGAGTTCGATAACAGGCTTAAATGACCAGTCCACATAAAATACTCTTGAAAGTAGATATTAATTAATATATATATATAGAAATTAGTTATAAGTGGCTCCGACAAGATATCATGCCATTATGCATTAGTATATATGCCTATCTGTTTTGTTTAGCAGGCATCTTATTGTGGACTTTGAGTGAAAAAATGAAAAGAAATGCTAGATTTAGTATTTTATGCCTGCTAACCTTTGAAGTGAGTCATAATCTCATTTGAGCATAAACTGTATGTCTGTATCTCATTTGAACACAATCTCATTAGCAATATGCATTGATAAATAGGTAGGAGCATAAACTGAAACATACTGGAGCAGCGGAGCTACAAAAATGGTTATTAAATTGAGCTAAAAAACATTCCTTGTAGAGTAGTTGTTAATATGAATAAGGGAAACTCTGTTATAGCCATTTCTGTACATTCAATGTACTTTATTGATAGAGGAACACACAGAGTTAACATAGTAAAATAAGAAATTGAAATATATCATTGAAATTGTCTTTATATGTTTATATATGTATAATATTTATGTGCATATGTAGATTGTTTTGGGTGTGTAGAAAGGATTGGAAATAAAGTATTTGAGATGATTTAAGATTCAAATCTTTCATGAAGAATTAGTAGTAATTCAAGGAACCAAATTTGTAAATATCGTATTAATGATCCCTAAAAATGCTTTTTAGGAAAATGATAGCTGTATTTGAACCACTTCAATTCTGCCCACCTCCTTCATGCAGTTAGGAAAGGTCATTTATTGGAGTAATCTGACATTCATTGCAATTTGTAGATACAGCTCCTCAATATTTACGAATGTGAATTAAATTCAGTGTTCTAAAAGAGCTAGCTTAGGTTTCCTTCATAATCAATGGTTTTTATTTCATTGTTCAAGTTCTCTTTGGTGGTCTTTTTAACTGAGAAGTCACTTAGCAGGTTATGTTCTTGGTAGATAGAGCTCCTCAATATTTACGAATGCGAACTAAATTCACTGTTCTGATAGAGCTAGCTCAGGTTTCCTTCGTAATAATTGGTTTTTAGTTACTCGTTAAAGTTCTCTTTTGTGATCTTTTTGACCGATAAGTCACTTAGCAGGTTATGTTCTTGTTATTGTACAAGGCATGCCTCAATTGCGCACAAGCAGAATCAGGATGAGATAGGTCTTGGTATGCCTCAAGCTTGGATTTTTAATCTTTGAGCTTGAAACTAGAGCAATACTCGATTATCGCAGACACAGTGGGTAATGACCCTACTCTAAACCTGAGTTATGTTTGGATCCTTTAGGCTATTGAATTAACTGTAGTTAATGAAGCCGAGCAGTTCTTATTGCTAATTGAGCCCAAACTGCTGGTTAGCAGCTCATTTTGTTAAACTGCAATACCTTATATATTAATCATATCCATGAATCCCTGGTTGATAAGTTAGTTGTTTCGCGCTTTTGATATTATAATTATAAAAGATATGATGAACATGAACTTGAATTTTGATTTTGATTTTTTTTTTTTCCTGAATTTTTTATGATAATGAATTTTTTAGTGTATAGTGTCTTGACCTATTATATTGCCACATACAGTTGTATAAATTTCCTTGTAGGCTGCATCAACTTCGCTTTTGTTTTTGCACATATTTTATATGTGACTATTTTGTTTAGTTTCTCTTAGTTAGAACAAGTTTTGTCGTAATTGTGCTTCTAATTTGTCATTTAGCTAATATAATAATGTGGCATCATTGTTTCTGTAGGAGATGTTCATGGTCAGTATTCTGATCTTCTTCGGTTGTTTGAGTATGGTGGGTTTCCACCTGCAGCAAATTATTTATTTTTGGGGGACTATGTTGACCGTGGTAAGCAGAGCGTAGAGACGATATGCCTTCTCCTTGCATACAAGATAAAATACAAGGAGAACTTCTTCCTTCTCAGGGGTAACCATGAATGTGCTTCGATCAACCGTATATATGGGTTCTATGATGAGTGCAAGAGGAGGTTCAATGTCCGTCTTTGGAAGACGTTTACTGACTGCTTTAACTGCCTGCCTGTCGCTGCTCTTATTGATGAGAAGATCCTTTGTATGCATGGGGGATTGTCCCCTGACTTGAAAAACTTAGATCAGATCAGGAATATAGCTCGCCCTGTTGATGTGCCAGATCATGGCCTTATCTGTGACTTACTGTGGGCTGATCCTGATAAAGATATTGAAGGATGGGGAGAGAATGACAGGGGTGTGTCATATACATTTGGAGCTGACATGGTTGCTGAATTCCTCCAGAAGCATGACCTGGATCTGATCTGCCGAGCTCATCAGGTGAAAACTTAACTGTGAACCTATTATTCATTTTCCCCAGTAGTTGTTTGTGCATACGCATTTTTGTGCAGTTGGAAACTTAAATTTGTTGACTTGATAGTTGATGAATTTCGGCTGTTTACAAATAACAGTTTATTAAGGCTAGTTTTATAGAGTGGACTTCCGGTTCTTTTTTGCTTTCAACCTTGTTGACTGAAAAGATCTGTTTGGTAAAAATAATGTCAAATGTGAAATTATATGTGCGTGAAAAAATTTCTCGTGAGGAAATAGTACCTTCACTCCTGGTATCTCCATTTTTTGACAACATGAGTAATTGATGAGATCTTTTTATTTTCGGTTTAAGTAATACTGAAATAGAGTTATGTTGCTTGGCATATGGTGATGTCAGTGCAAGCTGCATTACCGCATCATGTGTCTTGGGATATGAATAATTCATATGTAGCAATTTATTAATACTATATCAATATTTCACCATGATTTTATCTTTTGCTGTTACTCGTCAGGTAGTGGAAGATGGGTATGAGTTTTTTGCTAAGCGACAGCTGGTGACCATATTCTCAGCACCAAATTACTGTGGCGAGTTTGATAATGCCGGTGCAATGATGAGTGTTGATGATACATTGACATGTTCTTTTCAGATTCTTAAATCTTCGGAGAAGAAAGGAAAAATGGGTTTTGGCAACATGTTGAGACCAGGTACACCGCCTCATAAGGTAATGAAAGTTTCTTTTTGATAAAAATGATGAAGGCAAAATTCATAACAAATGCCTTAGTTGCTATGCCACCTGAGTGTCCAAAATGGTTATATGTGACAACTGATATATCTGAACTTTAATGATCTCTCTATATGCTGTAGTTACTTGTGACATGGCGTCCAAAAGTTATGAAGACTTTTACTCTGTTTTTATCCTTGGAACTCTGCCGGGAACACAAGTGCATAATGGAAAACATTAGTTGTTGGGGAAACAAAGCAAATTTGGACTTGATTTTTGGAAATAAATGTTTGATTCAGTTGACATTCTGAGTTATATTTTTGTTGCCTAATTTTGGGTAAATACTCTGCCAAGACTCCCAACAGACTCATCAATTGGTTAGATGGGGGTGTACATATTTGCCAAATATGGTAGTAGATGTTGAAAAAGTTTCTCTACATTTTTTCAAGGGCAGTATTATAGGACATGGAATACGTTTCACTTTTATGACACTGTGCTTAATAGAGTTAACATTAATTGGCTATTTTTGTCTGATTTTCTGTTGATTTCTCATCACGACAAGGATCCAATCACATCTCACATGAATATTCAACATGGGTATAGATAGGTGACACAAGCATTATTTTCCGACAAAAATACGTCACCTGTACTTTCTGAAGTTTGTGTTTTGTTGATTGTCGATTTTCAGGGAGGGATGGGTTGAATGCATTGCTTCATCACATATAATATGATCAGAAGAGCATGGCCATTTGGGGTCATTTTGTTTCTGTCTTATGTCCGTGCTGCTATCTGCTAAATCCTTTTATGCACCCTGCCATGAATCTTCAATCGGATACTTGATGTTTGAAGTTTGCAAGCATTGACACCGAAGGGGGTGGTGAATTGGACACAAAGTTACTGCAAAGCCATAACAGAAGAGTGGCGTTGCCTGTTTACCATGCAACCTGGAACTTTTGTTGTATTGGATGATATTTGACTTCATTATGTTGAATTGTAACTGTAAGTGCACTGTTATTATCTTATGGCAAAACTTCCTTTTTCATTGCTCACAAATTGGGTAAAACACCATAAAACAATCAACTTTGTTCCTTTATAAAATGCTAACTGCTAACCTAGTGGTATTTGAGATTATTGAGTCGTTCTTCTTGATAAACTTGCCTTTAATGGATTTTATGGATCCATTGTACGTACGAAAATTAAGAAATCTTGAAAGCCTTGCCTGTTTAACTGGGTGGTATAGCTCTGTGGCTAGGCTATGCAATTTGTTATTAGGTCCCATTGATTTTACTTTAGGGTGGAAGTAGCAGGAAAGGAAAAGAATAGGAAAGGGTTTAAAAATGCGAAAGTTATACGGTTACATTTTAAATTTCTGTTATACTTATAGTTTAATTAGTTGTTTATACTGTAATTGTAATTGAATTCAAAAAGAAAACCATTTTGTTGTCATGTTCTACTGTTATTACGACTGAAACAAAAGCATAACAAGTTATGAACCTGTTTTTTGTGGATTATGGTTCTCTTAGTATTTTAAGATAGCGATGTGAGGGTATTTTAGTAATTTAGACAGATGCGTTAGCGCATTTAACTGTACGTGTAGAATAGTTTTATTTTTAGAAGAGGTCGTAGTAATTTCACAAATCATAAGAGAAATCTTGTAATTATGACAATTATAAAAGAGGTCCTTGTGATTTGCCCTAAAACAAACTTGTGCGGGAACAATCCTCAAAGTTGTTAGCCCACTGTATAAATTATAACTGCAAGCAGAAATTAAAAATTAAAAATATGATAACTTTTTTATTAAAGAAATTTCAGTGCGAATAGTATTACCAACTATTACCACCAGCAATAAAATTTGATGCTTTCCTCTTATCCAACATAAATTTATTTATTAATTTAATATTTGAAATCATAATGATTAATGGTTGTTTAGAAATATACAATTTTTTTTTTTCATTTCCTGCTATTCAAACTAATAAAATATATTATCTTACAATAAAATTCATTTTAACCAATTGTACAGTGAAAACTTTATTTATTTTCGTTTACTTCACTTTCTCTTTCCGCTATTAATTTGCGTCTAACAAAACGAACTTTTATAGAAAAAAGTAAGACAAATTTCACGAAATTCCTAATATTATCACTTTACTTTAGAAAACCCAACACTATGAAATTTGATCACGTTGCCCAATTCTGTTGTTAAATGAAGAAATTAACCTTCTAATATACCAATTTATTTAAAAAGCAAAAATCAGTATTTTGCAAATTACAGAAATAACCTTAGTGAAATTTGCCAATATATATATATATATATTCAAACTAACACATAATATATATATATATATATATATATATATATATATATATTTTCTTTTTTCTTTTTTCTTTTTTCTTTTTTCCATCTCCATTACATCCGGCGATTACAGCGCCACCACCGGCGACCGCCGCAGCACCACCATCCCATCTTCGTAACTGCCACCACCATTCCCAACCCACAACCACTAGCTGCCAATTGAAGGCTTGTATCATAAAATTCTCAATCGCCGTCATTTGGTTTCAGATTTCTGATTCCACGGAATTGTTTTCTCCCTAGTTCTGATTTCAATTGGAATTCTTTTTCTTTCTCTTCCTCGATTAGAACTCATCCAAACGACAGAAAAGAAATTCAATTCCACCGACGCACAGCAAACCCATGATTCATCATCACTAGAGGAAGATCGCAAATAGGTCTCACGCGAACAACACCCATAGTCCAAACCCGAAACTGGTTTGGGTTTGGATTTGGATCCAAATTCGTTTTACGCCGATTCGTTTGTTGAATGGAACTTGAGAGCACCATTAGAGGTCATATACGAAGAGTACGAAGGTGAAGACGAAGAAGGATAAGGAAACGATGACGTTCCGGTCGAGAAAAGAGAGAGACGTGAAATAGGTATCGAGAGATACCCTTCGTTGTCGCTGTATTATCCGGATTCTGCATCGGAGACGACTGAGGCTTTTTCGATTCTATCCAGTAGTTGCTCTAGTGTAATTTCCAGCGTGCGAACCTGCAACAATGTCACGCGAATGGGGAAGAGAGAGGCTTTGGCTCGTGATCCGAAGAGGAAGCAAATCGGCTTGGCTCTCTTGCACCGCCGAGCCGAAGCCATCTTGAAGCTCTTGTCAGATGGTTGTGCTTCTGAAGTGAAGATTCGTCAATTGCTCCGGTGATAGCCCAGACAACAGTAAATCGTTGAGAATGTGATCTCTTTCTCTCTCTCTTTAGAATTCATAACTTGGCTGATCCAATCTAGTACTTTTATTGTAAAAGTGATCAGTATGGTTGGATGATCACATCCGTAGATTACATTAGAAAAGTAATACAGACTGGATCAGCGGTGATGGTTGCTATAAAATATGGTATATGTAATGTTATTTGCGGATTAATATATAAAATGATAAAATGGGTTTGAATAAAACGACTGCGTTTTGTGCCAATAAATTTGCAAATCGAAATGCAGTCGTTTTATGCATTGATGAGTTAAATGTTACTAATGTTATTTGTGTAGTTGACAAGATACTTTTTTTGCTTTTTAAATCAAATGGTATATCAGAAGGGTACTTTCGTCATTTAATCATAGACATGGTGCAATGTGATCAAATTTTATAGTGTTGGGGATTTTCTAAAGTAGGTTGGGGGTATTTGATCAAAAAGTGATAGTATTAGGGGTTGGTTTCGTGAAATTTAACTAAAAAATTATTGGTAGGTCCCACTAATTTTAGTCTTAAAGCAAAGGGTAATTTACACCGACCTCCCCTATGGTTTGCTATAATTACAGGGACATCCCTTATGGTTTAAAAATTTATACAGACCTCCCCTAAAAATGAAACTAACCTTCACGAACCTCCCCTCTTAGTGACGGACCGTCAAATGGACTAACGAACCTGTTTAATTTACTAAAATGCCCTTAAGTTAGTATAGTAAATGAATGAATTACCCATATTATTATATATATATAGGGAAATGCATACGTGGCTCAACCTTTCTCCTTTCAAACTCTCTATCTTCAAAACCGCCGCTGCCACACCTCAACCATCACCCACCACCATTAATTTGGACATGCACCAAAATGTTCAATGGATCCACAAAATTAAATCTAAACCCAAAATAAGAACATGTAGACATATATTCACTGGGTATCAATACTCCAACCCCTGAGCCCCAAATACTTTGTGTACAATTCAATTTGAGCATACACTAAATATTCAAGGGATCCACAAAATTAATTATGAACCCAAGACAAGAACATATATACATATATTCTCCGGCAATAAATTCCGGTAAACCACAACCATATTGAGAAAAGAGAGGCCATTAATAACGTATACTTGTAGTTCTTAGGTTACCTTTTGCGAACACTATTGGGCTTGTTGATAGTGGTGGGTATTGATGATGGTAATGGTGGTGGGTAGAAAAAGTATGAATAGATGGCGGTGGTGGCGATGGATTGCTTTGTGTGTATAGTAGTATAGAGAGAGAGAGAGGGTTAAAGAGAGAAATGAGGAAGGCGACGAGCAAAGTGTTCGACTGCTGTAGTGACTACTCTGGCGATGAACATGGACATCGGCGATGACAATAGATAAGGCGATGACTATGGAGAATGGCGGCGAAGCTGTGACTCTCTCACCTCTATCAAACGCCAATATTCCAGTTGCCTTATTCCTTATCCAATCCCTACCAATTCAAGACATGGCCATCTCAATTCCAATCTTCCACCATCATATCATCAGGCATTGATAGTAAACATCATCTCTCAAATGACAAGAAGTTATCAAAATCTCATCATCAACCCAGGACATGGCCTAAACTGGTATGTGGCAGAGAGAGGAGAGAGAAAACGAAGAGGAGAGATAAATAATCATTGGTAGGGATAAGGGTATAATGGGTATTTAACTTAATTAAGTGGATGACATCAGCAGAATCTGTCGTTGACAGGCGTTTACCGTAACGGAAGGGAGGTTCGAGTATAATAGTTTTATTTTTAGAGGAGATCTGTATAAATTTTCAAATTAGAAAGGAGGTCCGTGTAATTATGACAAATCATAAGAGATGTTTGTATAAATTACCCTAAAACAAATTGGAAAAGCAAAGAGACTTTTGAAATTAGTTCATCCCGAGGCTCCGCCCAATAGACTAAAGCCCATATAGCCGCAAGTCAATATTGTTAGTACATAGGAGTACGTCATTGGTCAATATAACTTTCACAATTTAGACCAACTTTTGTAGTTTATTAGATTTTTTACTCTTTTTATTTTTTTATTTTGTAGTAATGCCATCACGAGAGGACTTTCATGATGAACTCTTATTGTCTAATTAATGAATTAAAAAATTTATTAAATGTTTTATTTAATTTTTCACCATCTAAAGATAAAAAAAAAAGAGTTCATATCTCCTGTCATGAGATGACTTTTATAATAGCATTTTTATTATTATATATATTTTCAATTTATTCCCAGCTATCATTCTTTATTTTCTTTGATTGCATGCTCTTGTCAAATGGAGTTTTTCTTTTAAAAAAGATGAACCAAAATTAATCAACTCAATTAATCAAATCAATAAAATCATCTGATTAAGAAGAATGCATTATGCATTGCACAATTAGTAAATATCTAACCATAGTTGCCTCGTTTGGATCGAGGAAATTGAAGAGAAAAGAATGGAGAAAATGAGGAAGAATGCCTTTCCTTTGTTTGTTTTAAAAATGAAAAGAAAAAAAGATATGATTAGGAGGGATAAAGAAGAATAGCCTAACCTATTGAATAACAGTTTTGCTAAAGTGGGAGGTTTTAGAAGGAAATGATGGAAGAGTGGGTGTATTACCACGGTTATTCTTGTCCTTTAGACCAAGTGAGTTTCTTCTACTCACAAATTAAAATAATTATTTATTTTTTATTTGTCTCCACTATTTCTTCAAATATGATAAAAGGTTTATCACTTCGTTTGTTATAAAGAAATATATTGTTCAACAAAATCATACCCTCAAACGGTTTTCTTTATCCATTGAGAACAAGAACAA